TGTGTGGAATTGAGACAAGGCTCTCAATTTATAGGAAATAAGCTTGGGTCCTAACTTAATGACTAAGGAAGGCCTAAATATCTAGATATTTTTTTATTTTGTTTTTCAACCAATTTTCCATCAAAATATTATTTATCACACCTATGTACATATTCAAATAAATAATAATATTCTATTCAAATAAATAATAAATATTCAAATAAATAATAAATGAAAGAACAACAAAAACAAAAATAGAAATAAAGATAAAATGTATGAATTGATTTATAAACTAGGAGGTAAATAAATAAAAACCAAGTTTTAGGGTATTTCCAATTATAAAGTTGTGTTCTATGATTTAATTGTAATAATACATAGAAAAATTATCCTTTATTGGGCCACTTCGCAGATTTTTACAAAACTAGGGGCTAAAATGCTATTAACCTAAGTCTCAGGGTTACACATGTAATTACCCAAATTTAGGATCTCTACAACCTATTCCCCTTAAATAAATTTCATCCTCGAAATACCTCACGTCTCAAATAGTTGTGGATAATTTGCCCACATCGCGTCTTCACGTTCCCCGGTGAACTCTTCAATAACATTGTGATGCCAGAGTATCTTAAGAAGTTGAATTGTCTTTCCTTGCAAGTTCTTTTCTTGTCTATCCATAATTGCTACTGGTCCCTCCTCAAAGGTTGCATCTTCATTGAGTTGGATTTCTTCCCAGTTGATAATGTGAGAAGGGTGCATTATGTACTTCCGCAGCATAGATACATAGAAAACATCATGTACTCCAGCCAATTGCGGGGGTAGAGCCAATTTGTACGCAACCTCTCCAATTTCCTAAAGTATCTCGAAGGGTTCGATATATCAAGGTGATAATTTTCCTTTCTTTCCAAAACGAACGATACCTTGGCAGGGCTGAATTTTCAAGACAACATCACCAACAATGAAAGTTAGAGGTCTTCTTTACCCGCACAACTCTTCTGACAATCTTGAGCTGCCACCAATATTGTCGAATAAGTTTCACCTTTTCTGTAGTTTCTTTATTCTTTCTACCGGTATTGGTGTTTTAAGTCTTGGTACACTTTCGTCCCTCCTGTGTGCACTGCAAACACCGAATGATGTAACTTTTTCAGAACTTTTTCTCTAAGCAACTCATCTTATGGCACAAACGTGCTGCCTTGATGTCTCAAACTTCCATCCGAGTGAATTGTCCAATCAGGTATAGGATCGCCAGATGCTATTCGCACTTTTATGCATGCCGCTTCCTGATCATACTTCTGTGATTTTATTACCTCGTTTAGTAATCTGGGCGTAACGATTTGAGCACCAAGGTATACCTTCTCGTCCTGAGCTTTCATCTGTACTCCGAACTCATTAAGTGTTCCAACCATGTTCCATTCCTTGAGTGCCAAGCTAGTAATAATTCCCCGGTTCTTGTCACTTAGGGCATCTACCACCACATTGGCTTTGCCAAGATAATAAGATATAATAAAATGGTAATGTTCAAGATATTCCATCCACCGTCTTTGTCTCATCTTCAAGTCCTTCTGTGTGAAGAAATACTTCAAGCTCTTATGATCCATGAAAATCTCAAACTGTTCACCATATTAACGCCTTTGTTTTAGCGAAAAACCATCACTGCCAGCTTCAAATCATGCGTCGAATAATTCTTTTCATGTGATTTCATTTGTGTGGAGCCGTTAGCCACCACCTTTCCATTTTGCATTAACACACAGCCTAGCTCATCCTTAGACACATCGCTATACATTGTATATCCTTCGTCTCGCTCTGAAATGATGAGTATTGGGCAATAGTCAATCTCCTCTTGAGTTCTTGAAAAGATTGTTCACATGCTTTATCCTAATCATATTTTACCCCTTTGCGTTAGACGAGTCATCAGCTTGGCCAGTTTAAAAAAAAAATCTTGAATAAACCGTCGGTAATAACCGGCCAACCCTAAAAAACTACGAACTTCGAATACTGAGGTTGGTTGCTTCCAATCTAATACTGCTTCTACCTTGGCCGGGTCTACTGCAATCCCGTGCTCAGACACAACGTGTCCCAAAAATTTGACTTCCTTCATCCAGAACTTGCAACAAGTTGATTATGCCACCACATTGTCGTGCTCAGACCCTCCTCTGTATCCCCCTTAAATTGGAAACACCTCCCATCAGGGGTGTAAGTGTCACCCTCTTCTGGTAGCAATCAATCATCGTTCAGTGGACAGATAACCATTCCATACCTAAGATTATGTCAAAATCGAACATGTCCCTGACCACAAGGTCACAAATTAAGTGTAAACCTGACACTTTCTCTCAAAGGTGATGTGATACTTAAAGTAGTTTTTAAAGGTTCACATGTAAGACCTAACGATTTAACATATGATGTTTTTATAATAATAAAAAAATGGTGCACCATAATCGAATAGAGCGTGAAGCCAAGAATTATAGAGTACGATGTTACCTTTAATTAATAAAGGGTCTTCGTCCTGTTCCTTTTGATCGTAGGGTCTAGCTCCCATTCAAACTTTCTTGCATTTTCCCCCTCAATTGGCCTAATTGTTCCAAAATCTGGTTTCCAATGCGGTTCAAGATTTCAGCTGCGGGTATTGGTCCATTCTTAGGGTTTCAATTACATGATACTTCATTCTTATTGCGTTATTGCTCATAAGCTCGTGTGTTATCGCTTGTCTCAGTGTAGCCGTTGGCTCGAGTGTGGTTCATTTTTTTTTTCTTTTCTTTCTGTTCATAGTATGGGGTGAGGCATAAGTTGGAGTCTAATTACGGAGGCAATTCTCAAGGGTAATCAACTAATCTTAAAGTTATGGTTTAATTATCCTACAGTGTTTAAAACAATAAGATCAAGTAGTAAATAACAAATCTAGGGAAGCACACAACACAACTTCACATATATACATATAGCAAAATAATAACTACAAGACTTTGAAAACTGGATTAATAAATGGAAAATATGAAATGGAGATGAAATAATATTATAGTAATTGCATCAATTAATACAAGGATCGTCGAAAATACGGATGGGTTATGATTTAAGACTTTTATGTGGTTAAGGTATAGAGATAGTGACTAAGTTAGATATTTAACTTGAAACTGCGTCGGCCATCCGCGTTTCAAACTGAATATCCAAGATTCATCACCGAATGAAGAAATTGCAACTTTCAGAAAAATTCTCGTGCAAGATGGCATAATCAAGGCACAAGGTTGTCAATCTAGCAAATGGTATAATTGAAAAGTACAAAGTAAGACCAGATGGTAATGACTTAATCTTGAAAGTGAACAACATCAAACAAGGTTACAAATATGAAATGAGGGTATGACGACCGATAGAAGACCTGTAGAAATAACAGTATCTCCTACTTCTATATTGTATCTAATGTTAAACACGTTGCCCAATTCAAAGTTAAAACCACTTCCCTTTGTAGGTGATCGTCAAATTGTTTGAAGTCAAAATGCGTGGGTAAGGGTTGAACCTAAGCTCTGATACCATTCTGTAACGCCTCAACTTCCGGGCCGTTAAATACGTACAATAATACAACACAAGTAGGATAGATAACCAAAACATCTTAATATACATATATAACTAGAGTTAATATCACAGGTAATTCGTTTATGTTCCATTACAGGATTATCAAAACATTGCCAAACCAAAAGCCAAAAGAAAAAAAAAAAACAACTAGTCTAAGTCTTCAAATGAACCACAACTCCAACACTTTATCTTGTTTGCCTTCGAAATAACCTTCACCATTGTAAACAAATTGCACAGAAATAATAATTAACCTGTCTAGTTTCTATTCCAATTCACAGAATGTGCATAGCACCTCCAGAAATTTATCTACAAGCTATATTCGAAAACCTGTCCAGATTTGTCATCCGTTGAGAAAACTAGCTTTCCTCTCAATCTACCCAATGATTTTCGTCCAAATAAATTCCATTGAAAAGAGGACTCAAAATCCTAAATATGTATGAAAGCACCAACCTGAGATGATTTTTATGGAATTTTATAAAATTGTAAGAAGTGGATTGTTTTTCAGAGACTCAGGACCAGATTTTTAAACAAAGTATCCAAGCCCTAAAAACACACAATTAGGGGCTAATAAAATTACCACAAGCTCTAAACACACCAAATAGCCTACATTAAATTCAGATTGAAGAAATAAATAAATTTGATATTTCTTTTAAATTAGAGAAGTTACAGCAGTGCCTAATTTTACAAATTTGTAAGGCAATGTCACTAAATCAAACCCACACTCTTATATACATCAAAAACCCTATTTCCTATTAATATGCAACACAAGAGGGCATCTAACAATAGGATGGGATGGTGAAAGAATTGGAGAAGACAAGGGGAAGAAGTGTTCTTACCTTGACTCAAGAAGGCACCCTTTTTCTTCCTTTTCTTTTTTTCTTCTTCTCTACTTCTCCCTAATCACACTCTCCTTCTCTCACCCTCTCCTTGGCTGTTGATATGTGTGTATGTGTGGAATTGAGACAAGGCTCTCAATTTATAGGAAATAAGCTTGGGTCCTAACTTAATGACTAAGGAAGGCCTAAATATCTAGATATTTTTTTATTTTGTTTTTCAACCAATTTTCCATCAAAATATTATTTATCACGCCTATGTATATATTCAAATAAATAATAATATTCTATTCACATAAATAATAAATATTCAAATAAATAATAAATGAAAGAACAACAAAAACAAAAATAGAAATAAAGATAAAATGTATGAATTGATTTATAAACTGGGAGGTAAATAAATAAAAACCAAGTTTTAGGGTATTTCCAATTATAAAGTTGTGTTCTATGATTTAATTATGATAATATACAGAAAAATTATCCTTTATTGGGCCACTTCGCAAATTTTTACCAAACTAGGGGCTAAAATGCTATTAACCTAAGTCTCATGGTTACACATGTAATTACCCAAATTTAGGATCTCTACAACCTATCCCCCTTAAATAAATTTCATCCTCGAAATTAAATCATACCTCACGTCTCAAATAGTTGTGGATAATTTGTCCACATCGCGTCTTCACGTTCCCCGGTGAACTCTTCAATACCATTGTGATGCCAGAGTATCTTAAGAAGTTGAATTGTCTTTCCTTGCAAGTTCTTTTCTTGTCTATCCATAATTGCTACTGGTCCCTCCTCAAAGGTTGCATCTTCATTGAGTTGGATTTCTTCCCAGTTGATAATGTGAGAAGGGTGCATTATGTACTTCCGCAGCATAGATACATAGAAAACATCATGTACTCCAGCCAATTGCGGGGGTAGAGCCAATTTGTACGCAACCTCTCCAATTTCCTAAAGTATCTCGAAGGGTTCGATATATCAAGGTGATAATTTTCCTTTCTTTCCAAAACGAACGATACCTTGGCAGGGCTGAATTTTCAAGACAACATCACCAACAATGAAAGTTAGAGGTCTTCTTTACCCGCACAACTCTTCTGACAATCTTGAGCTGCCACCAATATTGTCGAATAAGTTTCACCTTTTCTGTAGTTTCTTTATTCTTTCCACCGGTATTGGTGTTTCAAGTCTTGGTACACTTTCGTCCCTCCTGTGTGCACTACAAACACCGAATGATGTAACTTTTTCAGAACTTTTTCTCTAAGCAACTCATCTTATGGCACAAACGTGCTACCTTGATGTCTCAAACTTCCATCCGAGTGAATTGTCCAATCAGGTATAGGATCGCCAGATGCTATTCGCGCTTTTATGCATGCCGCTTCCTGATCATACTTCTGTGATTTTATTACCTCGTTTAGTAATTTGGGCGTAACGATTTGAGCACCAAGGTATACCTTCTCGTCCTGAGCTTTCATCTGTACTCCGAACTCATTAAGTGTTCCAACCATGTTCCATTCCTTGAGTGCCAAGTAGTAATAATTCCCCGGTTCTTATAACTTAGGGCATCTACCACCACATTGGCTTTGCCAAGATAATAAGATACAATAAAATGGTAATGTTCAAGATATTCCATCCATCGTCTTTGTCTCATCTTCAAGTCCTTCTATGTGAAGAAATACTTCAAGCTCTTATGATCCATGAAAATCTCAAACTGTTCACCATATTAACGCCTTTGTTTTAGCGAAAAACCATCGCTGCCAGCTTCAAATCATGCGTCGAATAATTCTTTTCATGCGATTTCATTTGCGTGAAGCCGTTAGCCACCACCTTTCCATTTTGCATTAACACACAGCCTAACTCATCCTTAGACACATCGCTATACATTGTATATCCTTCATCTTGCTCTGAAATGATGAGTATTGGGCAGTAGTCAATCTCCTCTTGAGTTCTTGAAAAGATTGTTCACATGCTTTATCCTAATCATATTTTACCCCTTTGTGTTAGACGAGTCATCAGCTTGGCCAGTTTAAAAAAAAATCTTGAATAAGCCGTCGGTAATAACCAGCCAACCCTAAGAAACTACGAACTTCGAATACTGAGGTTGGTTGCTTCCAATCTAATACTGCTTCTACCTTGGCCGGGTCTACTGCAATCCCGTGCTCAGACACAACGTGTCCCAAAAATTTGACTTCCTTCATCCAGAACTTGCAACAAGTTGATTATGCCACCACATTGTCGTGCTCAGACCCTCCTCTGTATCCCCCTTAAATTGGAAACACCTCCCATCAGGGGTGTAAGTGTCACCCTCTTCTGGTAGCAATCAATCACCGTTCAGTGGGCAGATAACCATTCCATACCTAAGATTATATCAAAATCGAACATGTCCCTGACCACAAGGTCACAAATTAAGTGTAAACCTGACACTTTCTCTCAAAGGTGATGTGATACTTAAAGTAGTTTTTAAAGGTTCACATGTAAGACCTAACGATTTAACATATGATGTTTTTATAATAATAAAAAAATGGTGCACCATAATCGAATAGAGCGTGAAGCCAAGAATTATAGAGTACGATGTTACCTTTAATTACTAAAGGGTGTTCGTCCTGTTCCTTTTGATCGTAGGGTCTAGCTCCCATTCAAACTTTCTTGCATTTTCCCCCTCAATTGGCCTAATTGTTCCAAAATCTGGTTTCCAATGCGGTTCAAGATTTCAGCTGCGGGTATTGGTCCATTCTTAGGGTTTCAATTACATGATACTTCATTCTTATTGCGTTATTGCTCATAAGCTCGTGTGTTATCGCTTGTCTCAGTGTAGCCGTTGGCTCGAGTGTGGTTCATTTTTTTTTTCTTTTCTTTCTGTTCATAGTATGGGGTGAGGCATAAGTTGGAGTCTAATTACGGAGGCAATTCTCAAGGGTAATCAACTAATCTTAAAGTTATGGTTTAATTATCCTATGGTGTTTAAAGCAATAAGATTAAGTAGTAAATAAAAAATATAGGGAAGTGTAGACACCCCATTTTTGACCGCCCTTAAGACTTGGGCACTACTGATGGTTTACTTGGTGGTGAAAGGTGTGCAGGGCAAAGGTTCAATTTCTTCGGCAAGGAGAGAGTCAAATCCCAACTTCATACCCCTTTTGGACCAAAACAATCTTGATCAAAATATTTTAGACCTTGAAACCCTCTCTTTCAAAATAGTTTTTGAAAAAGTTCCTACGATGTTCCGACGCTCGCATTTTGTTAAATGTTGCGCTTTTCGGTAAATCGAGCAAAGGACAAAGTGGAAATGAATGAAAGAGAGATTAAATCTCTAAAAAAATCTTTCAAAACAACTTGTTTAGGGGTTTGTATTTGAAGAAAAGAGGAGAGGAGAGAAGCAAACTAGTTTAGGAGAAGTTCGGCATGAATCCGAGAAGGATCAAAACTGAATAGTCTTCACTCAAAGGAGCATACCTTTTTTCACAGTTGTAATTTTGAGGTGAGTTTTTCACCATTGGAAAGAAGACTTCCAGGGCTACAATTTAGGCTAAAAATGACCTGAAAATGAGTCTAGATGAAGGAGTTATGTCCATTTTAAGTCGGCCCAAAAAACAGATTTTTCTGTCCAACCAAAGGTGGAAGTTTATGACCATGAATGGGATTTTTGGGCCATGTTCCGGCCATGAATGGCCTAGGAAGGCCCCCTGCCATCCAATGATGTCCCATGCTGGCCAACAATGGCCAAGGGCCGGCCATCAATGGTCATGTGCCGGCCACAAATGGCAGAAAGCAGTTTTTGACAGATATTTTGCTCCAGCTTGCTCCAGCTATCCCTCTTGAGATATTTTCGACCTAAGGATCTCTTTTTGCTATATATTAAAGCCTTATATCTCATATTCAAGGGTTAGAACATTTGAGAACAATTTGGCAAAAGGTTTTGGAGCCTCTCTGTCTAAATCCCCTCTCTAGATTTCACTCTCTCTAAAGATTTTGTGCTTGAAGGCTTGCATACAACCATCTTCAACCTATCAACCCTAAACAAGAGTGGATCATCTTTGGGATGAGGTAGCTTGGGACTTTGTTTGAGCTCCAAAATGTGGTTTTGACTCAGGAAAAGTGGTTGTTCTTGTGCTATGCTTTAAGGGTGAGCATCTCCCTCTTTTAAGCTTATTTTCATACTTGTTTTTACCACCTTTGCAAACTGTTTTTGGCTTGGTTTTGAACTGAAGAAAACTCTATTTTTCAGTCCTAAAATTGGTGGTTTAAGCCCCTTTTGAGTTTGAGGGTGGTCCACCCTTCTAGTCTCTTTGCTTGTGAAGCTTTTGTGCCATCTTTCAAGGCCTTTCAAAACCACTTTTTGTGGCCTTTTAACCACTAAAATCTAGAGAATCTTCAATCGTAAAAACCCTATTTTGAGGTCCCAAATAGGAGGGGGTGGTCCCCTCTCCTCTTGTCTTGCTTGCATGTCTTGCTGGCCTACCAAATGAGCATGCATTTCTCCTTCTTTTAAGCTGGGTTCATGCATATTTTTGTGACTTTTTGGACCTGCCATAACTCCTTTTTTGGCTGGTTTGGTCACCTCTTGCATGCTTCTTGCACTTGTAGTGTAATCCTACTTGTTAGCCTTGCATGCTTAGCATTTTGGCCTATTGTTCTAGCTTGTTTTGGCTCTATTTCAGCATGTTTTTGGCCTTGTTTTAGCATGCTTAAACTCTGTTCCAAGTGGTCTTGGTCATGTATGGCTTGCCTTGTAGGGCTATAGTGTAATTGGCTTTGCTAGTCTTGTGTTTTGAGACCCCTAGCATGCATTATTTGTGATGTTTGTGTGATATGGCATCATTTGATATGTAATTTCAAACCATAAACTTCTGTCATACTCTCATATTTATCACTCTTTCAATGTTTTTGAGAAGTTGAGCATTATGCCTTATTTGTGAGCCAATACTTGAGCATATTTTTCTCGCCATCTATGCTACAAGTCCAGCATGTTTTTGCTGCTATTTCGACTTGCCTTAGGTCTGTTTGAATGGTTAAGGTCATTTGAGCATTGCTTAGCATGGTTGTAGTGTAAAGGGCCTTAACTAGCTTTGAGTTTTGAGGCCTTTAACATGTTATGCATGTGATGTTTTCATGGTATGGCATTATTTAGTATGCAATTTCAGTGCATATAGTGTAGTCACACTCTCATATACTTCACTTCTTCATAGCTTTTGAGGGTTGTGTATTATGCCTTGCTTATAGGCCAACATATGTGCATGTTCTTCTAGCATTTTGAGCTTCCATTTCAGCATGTTTAGACCATTATTTTGGCATGATTGAGCTCTGTCCAGAGTTGGTTTGGTCATTTGTGTTTTGTATTGCATACCTCATGTGTAATGTTCTTCACTTGCTTTAGTGCTCTTGGCCCCTTAACATGTCTTGCATGCATTGCTTACATGATAGAGTCTTGTGCATGCCACTTTAGCTTTGAAAGATAGCATGTTGTTTGCATTGCATTGTGTTCAACCGGACGTTATGTTGAACACATGGTTGATTGGTCCACTTCATACTCAAAGTGATGAAAGTGAGCCAATCTTCCTTGGTCTCTATTGCCTTTGATCATCCATGATGAGGTAGTAGATTTAGAGTCTTGTTTGCATTGTATTTGTTCAATGTGTACAAGGTTGGATCTTTGGCCATCATGTATTCCAAATGCTTGATTGATGGTTTTGGATCCAAGGTGCCCCTCCCTTGAAGGTTTGAGATGATAAGGAGTGGCATAGTACATACATATCCTTGGGAGACCCTCCATTTTCTCTGTCTTGTGCTCTGTTGCAGTTTGGTGTCACAGTACACCAGTGGCCGGCAATGCTACATTGATGGCTGGCACCCTTGCATCCTTGGCTAGCTGTGGTCCATCTTTGGCTGGCAGGTGGCCGGCAATAGCTCCTCATAGCCGACAGGCCACTGGTGCACTCTCCAGCACTGTTTTGGTGAGATCCAGCAACAAGTTATTAAAGACACCCTGCAAACAGAGCCTCGAAAGAGCAAACCGGAGAGCTTTTCGGGGCGAGAAACCGAATGCGAGCATACATGTTCAACATCTTCAAACCAGAGCTGAAGTAGTTTAATTTAGTGCTTTACTTGTTAATTAGCATTGAATTTGCAATTCAATTAATTAATTTGTTAATTAGTTAATTGTTGTAATAATTAGTTGTAGCTAGTTATTCAATTTGGTTGTGTAATAATTAGTCTAATTAGATTATTAGATTAGTTAGATAAGCTTGGCGTAGCTAGCTTAGCGTATTCATTTGGACCCTCCATCGAGAGGGCAAACTGTTGTAATAAGGGTGCGTATGTGTGTGCATGTCTTCCAACCCCCATTTCTTTCTCCCTTTTACTTATCCGCTTTGGATGGTTAGTTTAGGGCATATTTCAATTAGCATACCTTATACTTTGCATGTTTGCATCATTCATTTGTCTCGCATGCACCGGGCTCAGCGTATCATTCAAACCGCATTGTATCTCAATACATTTCTTTGAATACATG